TTTTAAAACATGGCTTAATGTGACTAAAAAACTCAGGCATCCCCAATGTTGAGTTTGCGTCATGTTAAATTACCAAAAGCTGTTAGTTGGCGCTAGCTGTTTATATTGAACTGCATGGGGACTCCAGGGGATTACGAGGTTGCTTTTCAACTTTTCTCAAATTCAATCAAATTTTCTCAGCAACTAAAAGCGACAAACCAGCCAAATATTCCGTAACTGAGTATACCTAATAGATATAAGTAATAAAAGTTTTGGTTGCCAATGTTCTTTATCCTTTAACTTTGCAATATTTTATTTCTTTAGAATGGTCTCGTACTCTCGTGGGTTATGTTCAAGATTGTAAGTGGTGTCAGTGGACCTGCCGCGACAGAGCTACGAAATAACCAGTGAAACGATCAGTTATGATTATGATTGTTCAGCTCACTCCCCATGGGGACTTTTCAGTGACCGATTACATTAAGTATTAAGCTCACTTGTATTACCTACTAAATTTAGACTGTTTATTTTTACAATATTTGTGATATTACTTTCCTAACTATGTTTATCCTAACCCACCCTGTCAACTTTCCCTGTGAGACTGAGGATACCGAAGCGCCTGGAGAAAACCCACGATTTTCGGCAGACCGTTGACAGACTCTTTTCACATGAGTCCACGCACGAGTCCATAGCGAGAATCAGGGAGAATCGAACCCACGATCTCAGAGGTGAAAGGCACTTGCTCTGACGACTGTGCTACCAAATTAAAGCCCCCGTGCGTAGCCCACGCCCGACTTTATTAACGAAGGGAATGTTCTCTGGAGAAACCGAGTGGTTTGATTGCATTCCAATTTCATTTATGTGCATGAGAGTTTCAAAGATATTTGCTGGATAAGATGACTCCAATGTCTTTATCCTCGTAAACTTTCACCAACTTTTCTCAACAGTACGCAATGATGATATTATGAAATGCGACCTTTCTTTGTGATTTTCCCCGAGCCCGCACTTAAAGGGGTCGATCCGTTACTACAAAATAAAGTTAAGTAGTATAACTGTCAACTAATCTCCCAAGTCCCATGTAGTACGCAGGATTTTAATTGCCATTCCGGGGATCTCAGTAAGAGGTGAAACATTTTCACAAGAGAATATCACTAGACGTTTACCAGTCATTTCAGTCATATATAGCATCTTAATTTTTGAATAAGAATTGAATAGTCTGCAGTATCGAACGTTTTCAAGGTATATATGGAATGTTAGTGATGATGTGGGTTAATGAGAGGCAGATGATATAATGATATACTGTGTACGTACAAATATAGAGCGCTTTAAAACTTCACTATTGCCTGGGTAAACAACGATTAAAGAAATCACAAATGCTTGGTGGTATACGTACTCCTAGCTTCATCTCCATCAGTAACACTTAGTGACATATTACAGTAGACATTATACCAGGCGGTCATTATGCCGCTCCTCATGATGGAATAACGCCGTGGGGACTCTGACGAATGACAGGGATAAAAAGCATGTCCAGTAAAAGCCAGCAAATATGGGAAGAGGCATTTCCAACAGACCACTAGGTCTGCTAGAACAGCAGTTTAGCGCTGAAGAGACAGCTATCCCTGAGAACCAGTATCGGAATTTACTGCAATTAATTTAAATTTGTTTAGGTTCCCCCCTGTTGTAACACTAAAACATTAATTCTTACTGGACCACCGATAGAGTTATTCAGTATAAATGTAGTCAGTCTATTTTACTGTTTCTAGCTTACACTTGACCTCGATGAAGAACAGTTTAATCACTGACTATATAGTGGAGGTGAAATTCCAAAACCAAATGATATCACGAATGCTCATGAAATGAAGACGTAGATTTCATAAAAATAACAGTGGAAAAGAATTAAACGACAAATACAACTGTACAAGGTCTAAATGGAATACCGAGGCCTTTATTGAAAAGTAAGTAGTTCAAGGTTCGTCCTGCATGTAGTTAGGCCCTGTCACATATTGCGTATGAGAGAAACGTATGACTAGAAGCGTATCAAAATTAATGAAATAATTTTCATACGCACAAAAATCTTTTGAAATGCCAGCGTATGAGTACCGTACATCTGGCGTACCTCTAGCGTATTCATCGTGTGCCTAGAGTATGCTTATCGTATAAAGCATACGTTCGATGCGCACAGAATTTTCATTGAACATGCTTAAAAAAATTTTATGCCTCGCCGTATGCCAGCGTATGCCACCGTATGCGACCGTGCTTGAAACGTATACAACCTAGCGTATGTCAACGTATATCGGCGTATGAGTGATATTTTTCATACGCTGGCATACGCTAGTACGATACGCAATAGTGTGACAAGGCCTTTACAATGGACCACTACTCGCTAGTTAAGACCTCTGTGTGAACATACACTCTACAACAAATAATTTAAAGCGGCTGTCCAGTATAAATACTAAATTTTTTTTCAATTTCGTTGAACTTAATAGCTTATGCATGTGTTGCCGTGGTTGCGCGCAAGGTTCAGAAATAGTGTTTGTAAAAATGGTTGGTAATACGAAACATTGTCGATTTTGACATATTATTATGAAGATATATGGAGTATCTTCAACACTTTTTCCGTACCTTTTTTCAGTTTCGTATAATTTTAAGCTTTAAAATGATATACAGTATAACATGCTAATTCGGCACATATTCGATCTAATAAACGTTTCTGCGAAACATGACATGCCTGGCTCGCAGCAGTATTCGCGTAAACGTCCACTCGCATAACTGAACTTTGCGTGTTACGTTTTTGGTGCTTCTTACTGTATCATGCATGGCTTGCACTTTATGCAGACCCACCACCACTCTTACTACGCGCATTTGATCATATTGGAATGTTAATCTGCGCCCTATAAGTAATAAATCAGTATTATTATTACTTTTTACAGGACCGTAATTCAGGGTATACTTGGGAAGGGGGAGGAAAGACTTCCAGAAGTCCGACTTTGCTGTACATGTTAGCCCCTCCTCCCTCCCCCCTCCCCGACCAAAAAATAATAATCGGCAAAATGTAATAATTGTATACATGCTTAAAGATATAGGGTACAGTCCGGTCTGCACAATTTAATTAGGTTTTTATTTCATTTTATGTTCTTGCAAAGTCTGATTGTTGTATCTTGATCATTTATTATACTATACTCTGTAGAACTGAGCATGAAAATATAAATAGTTGTCGAATAAAGTTCAATATTTTGAATACCGAAATGTAAACAAAGGCTTTGTTTACATACGGACTGTACCCTACCTTTAGTATATATATTTGACCTGCGGTAAAAAATAGAGATATGATATGAGAATGAAGCTGCAAAAAATTGCAAACCTGTATTCTTTCAATATTTTAGCTAAAGAAAATAAAGAATTTTTATTGCATTATTTTTTTAATAAAGTGTTTAGGACAGTAATTTTCCACCACGTACTCATGCATGAGTTTTGTGTACAGTTATTGCGGGATAAACATAGATAGGAGCTCATCCATTTCATGAGAAGACGCTAATAAACTACACTTTAGTATACGCTTTAATAAGTTCTCACTTGAGATTTGAGAATGATGAGAAACTATAATAACATTCTTACGCGCGACGAGGGGCTCTGGCCAAATCCGGATACCATGAAAACATGGTAAAAGAATATATCCGGTATTAGAACAATAACCTTCATTGTAGCCAATCAGATGCCAGTTTGATATGGATTTGGCCAGAGCCCCTCGTCGCGCTCCGTTGACCGCGCGTACGAAGGGCTCTGGGTACGAGAATGCTATAACAACAACAAAGCTTAGTGTCCAGGCCTCTTACTGTGAGAGCCAACTGAGCTATAAATGTTAGTGGATGTTTTATATTATGCACTATCTCCCCCCAAGTCTTTAGTAAGCGTTTATGACCGGTAACCCTTCTTGTTATGATCTTGCCGTCTTCGTAGTGCAAGTCGTAGTTTTTTGGGTTTGCGAAGGGTAGGTGTTGGTGTTTCGATCAAGTTAGGTGAGGGTGGTGTTACAGTTGGTCGTCTGGGTGGTCGAGTGGTGGCTGGTCACAGTTGTGGTTTGATGTGGGATGACTATCAGGTTGTCTTGGTGGGGTAACTGGTTGTTGGGTATGAATGGGTTGTGGGTGAATATTGGGCCTTGTGGAAGGCACGGGTGAGGGTGGGGTCATCCTGGTGTCGGTTGGGCATGGTGGTTGGTATTTCCTAAGGAACTTACGGTTGCGTAAGGTGGTTCTGCCGGAGCCGTCAACGCGTATGACATATATATATATATATATATATATATATATATATATATATATATATATATATATATATATATATATATATATATATATATATATATATATATATATATATTGATCAAATTGCCGTACTTCTATCACGAGACCTGTCTTGTCCCATTTGGTGGGATGTGTGCCAGTTTGGTTTTGGATCCTAACGTGATCCTCAACGATGAGGGGTGGGAGGCGCTTTGTGTGTTTGTACATTTTCAGCTGCTCTCATATGTCTGTTCCGGAGTGCTTCTTCTCTGGCAGCCAGGGTGTCTCGCCAGGTGGGGTGGGGTCTGTAGCGACCGGGGAGTATAGGAATGAAGTCCCTGATTGGACGGACAAATATGCATTGAGCTGGGGATAACATGGTATCAGAGTCGGGTGTGTTCTTGTATTGAAGAATGGCGCGCTGCAGGGCATTGATGTTGAGGTCGCCATTGGCGCTGGTGTTGTTTGTGATAAGTCGTTTGACAGTTTTCACACCGACTTCTGCACGGCAGTTTGAATGTGGGTATGCTACTGATGATAGGTGGTGGTGTACTCCCCACTCTTGTAGGAATTGGCGTGTGGCAGTAGCAGTAAATTCGGGACCCCCATCGGATGCGCATTCGTCTGGTATGCCAAATGTGGTGAAAGTGCGTCGTAGGCAATTAATGAGGCCCTTAGAATCTTCTTGTGCGCGTTCGATTATGGGCCAGTTGGAATATCTATCGACCACAACGATCGAGATCACGGAGTAGCGGTGGGATCACTGCACGATCTTTGTAGATCGAGGATGATACCGTCCACTGTGTATAGGTTTTCGCGAAACTGGAAGTATTCGTGGAGTTCTCTGGGTAATTCGTGGCGGAGGTCAGGGAAATCTGACTCAATAATTGAGGCTAGCATATGCATAGCAGGGTCACTAGTCGTGGCCAGTTTCACATTATCCCACGTAACTGCTACAGCATTCAGTGCCGAGGAGGCAGATGAAGTAAGTTCGTCATTGATACTCGATGAGGTAGTAGCTGAGGTGAGGTGAGGTGAGGTCTGCGCATCGTATCCCAGTCAAGAATGAAGGTCTATATGGGTCCATGTAGGGTGGGTTGGTGGACTTGCTTGTGCTTGCGACGTCGTCGGGTAATAACAGTTTCTCTGGATTGTTGGGACCAGTTGAGTGGCGGGATACAGCATCTGCGGCTTTGTGTTTCACGCCGGGAATGTTACCATCCTGAATCTGTATCGTAAGGTTTTCTCCTTTAGGTTGCGGAGTCGAGCATTTGAGATTTCGTCGAGGGAACGATCGCCAAATAACTTGAGTAGGGGCTTGTGATCCACGGCAATGATCAGATTCTCGCAGCCAAGGGTGAAGAATCGTGCTTTGTCGAGGGCATCCGCCACAGCAAGGGCCTCGCCTTCCACTGGGGCGTATCGGGCTTCAGCTGCGTGGGTGAAACGACTGCCGACGAAGGTGGTTTTCCAGCCTGTGGGACAACAGAAAGGGTCAGTAGATGTGCATTGACAGTGCTTTTGAAACAGCCAGAAACCGATGCCACTCTTCGACCAGTCTGTATGTTGGTTTAGATTTGTCGAAAATACGGACGCCTTAATCTTCAATCTCGGTAACAATGACTGTCTTTGACTCGTTGAATAAGTTATTCAGTTCCTCGTTCCAGATGAAGGGTGTACCGGGCTTCAGGGCTTCGCGCAATGGTTGCATGCGGGTCGATCATATGATACTTGCATGGTTGATAAGACCAAACAAGATCGTATGTCGGTGATGTTAGTCGGTGTTGGGAAGTTACGGATTGCATCCAGGTATCGTGCGCACGGCCGGACATTGGTGAGAGTGATCTGGAAGCCCGCGAATTCAACGTTGTCTTGGCCAAACACAAACTTGTCAGGATTTAGGATAATTCCTTGACGCCCACATATATCGAGCGTATCACCACATATATCGAGTGCATCATCAATAACTTTGGTCTTATCTCGTCAAAGCGTCTAGAGTATATACCCATCGCCAGATGCAATATACCCTTGTGGTGCAGTTTTGTATCGGTAGCGTCCCCAAGGGGTGATAAACGTAGTAAGATGGCGATCATATTCGTGCAAGGGAACACTATGATATCCGTTCCAGCAATCGAAAACACATTTCTTTTTGCCACTGGGAGTGGAGCGTACTTGGTGAAACGGACTTTGGGTGTGGTGGGTCTCTCTGGTAGCGTGGAGGTTAAGTGCCTGGAAATCAACCGTGCGTCTGGGTTTGCCGTTTTTCTTCACACACACCACCATGCGGTGGCACCAAGTCACTGGCTCGCCGACTGGGACAGGTTCTAGGACACCTAACGCGACATCTTGGTCAAGGCCAGCTTTAACCTCTGATTGCCAGTGTAGTGGGACTGGGATTGGTGTGTGGTGGGCTTTCGGTTCAGCATTGGGGTCTATCATCAAGCGCATTTGTTCACCCTCCATAAATGACAAGGGTTGGTGTTCGCAATTGTTGAACGTACTCGAATGGTAATAATCTAGGAGCCAGTTTTCCAGGCGTGCACGGTTAGCCTCTGTAGCTGGGAGTGGCAGCTGGATAGGTTTCGATGGTGGTAGCTGGCGACGTGGGCAATTGCATGGTACAATAGTAGTGTGGTTCTGCCGTTCTGTGCTGTTGAGATGGGGGTTTGCTGGGCTGAACTGATCGTTTTTAACTGGTCAGCGGCTTCACCGACAGTGGGGAAGCTCTCCGTGATGAGACCATTGAACTATAAATAAACTGGAAGGCTAACTGCTATGATGAAGGCCTATGATTTGATGAAGCCAAAATAGTTTTTCTGAGTTATGAGCAGAAATACTTGACCCCAAACGTTCGGCTATATATCAAAATGAAGCTATTGAAAATTGCTATTCGGTGTGGAAATTTCAAGATTTCAGCGAAAAGAAAAATATTTAAAAAATACAAAAACAACTGCAAAATGGCAAATTATCGGTAATTATGTTTGTAGTTTTTCAATATTTCCCTTTTAGCTAAAGTCTTGAAATTTCTACACCAAATAGCGTTTTTCAAGAGCTTCAATTTGATATATAGCCCAACGTTCAGTGTTCAGTATTTCTGCTCATAACTCAGAAAAACTAAAATGCACTGGCTTCAATTTCCCCCCCTGAGTTAGCCTTCCAGTTTATTTATAGTTCAATGGATGAGACCTAGTTCTGTGCAAGCCTCTCTACTCAGGAAGATCTTGTTAGAATCGCTAGTGACATATGTTATCTGGCGAGTTTCGAGGACCTTTCCGGATTTTGAGGGGCCAGAGAATCGTAGAATGACGGCACCAAGGATTTTGATGCCGTGGTTGTTGGCTGCGTACATATGCATTGTCACGGGAATGAGGTCACGTTTTCTCAGACCAAGGCGTTGGATGACCTGCGCATCATACTCGCGAGGCAGCTTTGGCAGCCAGTGTCGGCCATGACAGAAATTTGTGTCGGCTTCGGGCGGGTGGCGTTGAGTGTGAAGCCGAGGGCTTGGTAATCATCTGAGTTGGCTGTGGCTGTTAGCGTTAGAAAGGGTTGCGACTTGGATGGTTTGCGCACCCATTGGTAAGATTATATAGATTATATGATATATAAGATTATATGATTATATAGGTGGTGATCCAAGATGATGGTACGTTGGCGATTTTGGTGGATTGAGCTGGTTGTGGTGCAGAGGCTGTCGAATACTGCTCCTTCGGTTTCGATTTCTGTTTTTCGTGGAGGTGTAAGTGACCTTGTTTTACTGCGGCAAACAGTCGCAAAATGGTTTTGGCGTTGGCAGTGATCACATTTTTTCCCATAGGCTGAACATTTAGTTTTTCTGATTTTCGGTGGTGCGTTCTTACCATGACCACGCTTGCCACAATAATTCCTCTTTGCGGGTTTTCAAAGCTTCTTGTTTGTTTCGGTGGTACTGGCTGCAGTAAAGCTTCTTGTTTGTTTCGGTGGTACTGGATGAAGTATCATCTTAATCTTTCCCTGCCAATCCGCAAAAAGGGAATTTGCCTAAATTGCAAATCTGATAGAGGGCCTAATTTGGTACCTTGAGGCAGACCACCGTTAATTATCTTTCTTCCCGGAGAATGTTGAATATACTACTTGCTAATTTTAACACATTGATCTCTGCTAGTTAAGAAGGACTTAATCCACCTAATCAGGACGGGTCTACAAGAAGAGTCTAGCCAAGCAGTGACCTTTATCAAGGTCAGCATGGATTAAATGCATGAGATAGACCAAAGCTTTTTAGGCAGAGCAAAGTACTTTTTATCCAAATTAAGAGACACTTCAGACAACAGTAAATCAAGGATGATAACTACCTATACCTTCCATTATCTTCGCAAATTGCGCGGTGTAAGGATGTACGTAAGTCTTCTTCAGTTGTATTAGGAGGAGATGTTTTTGGGATTGGTACCACAAGTGATCATTTGGGGGATTTCCAGCTGTAACAAAGTTAAGAATTGTAAATGTCAGATGATTACTGGAGGAAATTCGAAAGCAAAGGTCTTTAGTATCTTATTAGGGATATCATCAGGCCCAAGTGATTTTGTTGTTTTGATGCGCCGTTGGACAGAATAAATCTGGCTCGTACCAACCATTCGTTCCAAAACTGATATGTTTCACCTTACAAAACTACTAATTTGTTCAAGCCAATGGTAGTGTCACATAAAAAATGAGAAATACATTTCAACCTTGCATGCAAGATAGCATAGCTTGCTGAGCATGCATGCAACTATTATTTATTATAGCCCCAGTTATCAGTAATGATCCAAACGAAGCATGAAAGGGCATATGCGTTCTGTATCGTGATAACTTAAAAGTCTTCTCGTATCATTCTATTCTCCAGATTTATTGTAGATTTATCATGCCCATGTAGTTGTAAACATGACTGTAAACACAAAGGAAGGTCTTTGAATATATTCCCCATTGTTCTACTCAGGGACGTCGCTATAGGGGGGTGGGTGGGCGGTGGGTGTAATACCCCCCCCCCCAATAATTCAAACGTTGGTCAAAGTTGGTCAAAATGGAACTGACATTTGCCAAAAGTTGGTCAAAATGGAACTGATATGTGCTTAAAATTGAAGGTAAAACTCGGAAAAATTTGATAAAAGTTTGGGATATAAGATGGTCGAAGTTGTTAAAAGTTATGAAATGGTTCGCACTTTTAACAATTTTAAAGCTTCAGTTACGTTTGCGGTGAAAAAATCGGAAGCATTGCTGATATTAGTCGAAAAATTTTGATGCTTATATTAGGCCAATCTCGTACCCAGAGTATGCCCACGAGATTGGTATTAGGCCGAAAAATTTTTTTTGGCTATATTACACCGGAAATTTTTTTGACCTCCCCCCCGTCGACAACATTTCAGGGAAAAATTTTTACGACTTGGTCAAAATCCTAGGAAAAGTTGGTCAAAACATGACGACCCCCACAACGTTGATGGCTTCGCGACGTCCCTAACTGGTTCTTCTTTAGTTTGTATTGGCTGATACACTAGTGATAGTTATTAATTCATATAAAGATTTACGTCATGAAAACAAAACGAAATTTCACCCTGAAAAGCAAGAATTACATGGCCATTCCGTCGGAGTCTAGGTTAGCTATTCAAGAATACAATACGCCATGGCCACTTCCTGGCAGAGTTTTCTCCTTGTCGAAATAGGCAGTTGATCTTTCTTAGGATGACACTTGCACCATTCTGCCGTATTGTACGTTATTTTAATTAAACAAGGAAATAAGACATTATGCTAGACATTCGAGCTTGGGTTCAGTGAAATGCATTTTTACGCGGCTGAACTGAGAGGAAATGTTTCCTCCCCATGAAGTATGACGACAATGACGTCGTGCAAGATGTGATTGGAACGGCCAATCACATTATTCGGTTTTGCTTATTGCACGGGCAGGGGCGTAGGAACCGCCGGGGGGGGGCACAGTGGGCACGTGCCCCCCAATTTTTTTCAAAGGACCAAAAGTGCCCTTTTTTGTAATGAAAAATGCCCTTTTTGTACAAGATAATGTAGCTGTAAATACTTGAAATTAACATCAAAGATACCCTTTTTAATTTGTTTGGAAATTTCGATGATTTTATAAAATATTTGGTCAAAAACGTGCAATTTTGGTATAGTATGAGGGGGAAATCGCCCCCACCCGTCGCCAACATTTCCGGGAAAAATTTTTAGGTGCCCTTTTCAATATCCAAAAATGCCCCTGGAAGTCGATGCCTCCCCCCCCCCCATCTTTTGATGCTTTCTACGCCCCTGTGCACTAGCCTGCGTGGCAGGCGGCTTTTAGGGAGGCCGTAGGAAATACCGAGTACGCCTATAGTATAGTGTCACACGAATGATTCATAGATACAATATTGTCTAGTTCCTGTACCCCAACGCCCGTCCCGTTTCAGGAACTGGTTTGTGTTTTTCTTTGTCACCAGACTCACCAATATCACGTATAACGCGTACGCGGTGGACATGCTAGATTGCTAGAAGGAGGGGACGAAGTGTTCATGATCTACAACAATGTTTGACAATATACATTTGGACAATCTAGCTTTACATACATTTATGCTCCCTTCCCCCTGATGTTTGAATGTGCCAGTCTGACAAGTCGGCATGCAGAAGATCAAATCAGATATTCCCTTCATTCCTCCCTATTGACTACAAATCCCACCTGAATTTGGTCACCATGAAAACTAGCCAGTCAAGATATGATGGTATGGAAACTAAACAGAAGTCATTATTTTGTCTTTGTTGAAAAAATAAATGAAGTTGCGACAAACAAAAATAAATGAAGTTGCGACAAAAAAAAATAAAGTTGCGACAAACAAAAATAAATGAAGTTGCGACAAGGGGCCATTCACAAAGGATGTTCGGCCAAATGATCGATTTTCAGACCCCCCCTCCCCCCCCTTGTCCGGCATTGTCCGAATTAGTGACCCCCTCCCCCCGGACATCCGCCATGCCTCGCAAAAACTCACGCAACCTTGTATATATCAAGAGTAAAAAACTTTTTTACTTTTAGAACTTTTTTATAACTGTAAATGTAGCCCGCGTCCTTCAGCCTGCTCCCTTGGGCCTGCACGCGGGCTACTGTAAATGTGAACACAAAAACATATAAATTACTAATTAAAACAAAATCTAGTGTTAACCGCATAGTCAAAATGCCAATTTCACAATGGGAAGGACTGCTCAAAATAGAGGGAAAAAGAAATTTGTTTTTGAATTTTTTTAAATTTCGGACATCCGGATTGCTAAAAACCCCCCCTCCCCCCCTATGTCCGAGTTTGTCCTGATTTTCCAAACCCCCCTCCCCCCCTCGGCTCGGACATCCTTTGTGAATGGCCCCCAAAGGATTTGTGCATCGTGAGGTACGGTTCGGTTCAACATCAAACAAATGTCTTCCATTTTGTAACTTTCACGTTTGCCGGGTTTCCAGACCAAAGACCATCATATCTTGATTCTTGACACAGGCTATGCCGAAAATAGGCTCGGGGTGCGCAGTTGAAATATCGTTATTCAATGCAATTATTTCTAAGTTCTAGCTATAAACCCAAGGCAGTTCTAATCCAAATCCAATGTATGTATGGCAATGTGAATTTAAATAAAGTAGTTGTAGACTTGTAGTATTGTTACATTTTGCCATTTTACGTGCATGCTGCTTCATATATATATGAATTAATGAGGCCCACCAAGTTCAAGGGGTTATGACAGACTATCAAAGAAACAGCGATAAACGACAGTTTCTGACTGGGAAAAAGCGACAAATTGCGATTTGCGTTATGAATCAAAAGTGACATGTACAGCGACATTTACTACAATAAAACAAGCGACAAAGCAGCTACAAAATGAGCCTCATGAATCCGTGACTAGATGCATGATTTTTTCAAGGAGAGTCACTTTTATGACGTCAAACAATGAATGACATACGCGTTTTTTAGTTCCGCCTCTTCCTATTCCGGATCGGTTGCGTAACCCTCACTCCTCAGCTAGAATAAATAAACATGCAAATATAAAAGACATAAAAGCGTCATACGTTTTAAATCGTTTATACAACAAGAAAGATAAGTTTGAGTAGAGTTCGTGTATAATTTTCACAAGGAAATGTCAGCGAGAAAAGCACCGAGCGCTGCCGAAGTCGCTGAATTCACTTCACCCGCAGTCAATGAATCTGAAACAGACAAATTACTGAGGAAAAGTAGAGATCAGCCGTTCGTCCCTCTAGGTAAATACAGAGCTATTTCACAATATTTTTTATTTTGATCCGTAACTTTGTGATTTCTAAACATTATGCTGAAATTCTAGCGTGTATTATATTAAAGTTGTGATGTTGTATGACTGGCTGTTGCAATATTTTTGTTCATATAGAGGTATACTTAGATAGTAATTACGTAATTGTTTTCATTTAAATCAGTTGTGGAATTATGTAGGACAATGACCATGTTGGCATGTTGCAAAATGCAATATTATTTCATTTAATGTATTCCAATTAGCCTTTCTCATGCGGGCCAATATCGAACATTTTTAAGGTACTGTCATCCTTCATCAAAGAATCTAGACAATTAACTGTAAATTTAATATTCCCACAACTACAGTGATAAAAGTTGCATTTTGTGGTGCATACACTCTCAGATTTGGGACAGGCAGTACCTCCAAAATGGTTGGCAAACAGCTCATATGAGCAAAGCTCATATGAGCAAACCTCAGGTGTGCAGCACTTTTGACTATAGTTTTGCAGTACCTGTGGCATGTTATTGGCGATAATCAAGTGTGTTCGTGGTGAATGGTGATAATCAAGGCCTTTCAATTTAGGGCCAGCTGTGGCAAAATTTCTTCAGGGCTCTATGTTAGAATTATATTGAAGAGTAATTAGAAGAGTAACCATACGTTAGGGTTTGGTGGTGTTGGTGCTTATTTTGAAGGCTCGGGAGAAATGCTTAATTATTTTGAAGGAGGTTTCCTACCTTGCTCCTCTCTCAGCAGCCTAGTGCTAATGGTCCGGATATTACAACAAGCTTGTGAGTTTGAAACCTAGACATGGCAGGCAGAATTTTCTGCTTGCACGGTTTGGACCCATTCACTCAAGAACATTTCATCCTCATCATATTACCATGTCAACCGTACCATATATAAGATAATATATATGTAGACATGTAGTGCAAAGATAGATGCATGATTCTATCAATCTATCCCCCCCCCCCCATGGTTCTTCACTGTGGAATGCTAAAGAGAAAGGTACTTTTGGAACATCATGATTTAAAGCCACTAATTAAGTTGCATTGTATTCCCCAATGTGCCCTACTTTATTATTTTACTCTGTCCAATGCCAGACAACTTTACTCATCAAAGGAAGAGTGCTGGCACTCAATGGGTTAAATGTGGTTTTGACAATTTTCTAGGAATTCTTGGTACAATTGGTGCTCTTGCATATGGTGCTTATGCTTACAAGAATCGAGGACCAATGAGCACAAGCCGCTACCTCATGAGACTCAGAGTAATAGCTCAATCAATGGTTGTTGGTGCGATAATGGTTGGAGTTGGTTACACAGCTATAAAGGAAAAGCAAGAAAGCAAACATAATTGATTTATAGTGGCTAAATATGATATACTGAATTCTAGTTGGTTAATATTATACAACTATTCCAAATGTAAATAGATAATAATATTAAATATTGGTTATATATATCATTTAATGATAATATATAATTTTGATTATAAGAAACAGTTCTAGACAACTTTAAACTAGATGTGCTTGTGTACATAGTCAATTCTTAGAGTAATAGCCTATGCAGTAGAGCTCCAGCCCAGCAGAACATGAGAAACAAAGTGTGGGTATACACTGTAGGCTATAGAGTAAAGGTCTGGAAAGTTGGTTGAAGTACATTTTAGAACTTCTTGGTTGGTTGATTTGGGGAAAAACAATCGTATGTAGCTGTAGTAATTTAAACCATCATAGAAATATATAATGAGGTACAGTATTACTGTATTTTAATGGATTTTCCAAACCTTTATTCTGTTGACTATGATCCTTAATTTAGATTTTGTCTTTGGTTGGATCATCTTGTTGCAGCACAAACTCAACAAAAGTCAAGTTTGTTGTTGCTTGTTTAAAATGTCTCTGTATTTATTAAAACATATTATTGGTATGAAGAATATTGGAACATGCAAATATTTTATAACATTTTGCTGTCAAAATGAATTATGGTATGCCTCTATTTAGCCCTCAGCCTCTGTTTAGCCCCTTCTAATAATTGCCCCAATGAGAAGACAGAGGAAATACAATATCGATGGCATGGTGTAGTTGATCTTGGGGTTATGGAGGTTCAAACGGAAACAAAAACTCATTTTACCATGATGATGTAGTTCTAAAATGTTATTGGGCTCCTCAAGGGAGGCCTTTGGGGCATGGAACGGGGGGATGAAGCAGTTCACAGTACTAGTGTTGTTAAATTTTTTAAGTTTAGGGGCTGAGCCCCTCTTAAGATCTTTGAGCTCCTAAACAACTTTTTGCCGGTTTAATAAGTTTTTGCACAATATTTAATCTGAAATACACTATACAGTTACCGTTGTTCCAGTTTATTGAATTTTGAAGGTCAGACCAGTACTAATTCTCCTTACACTCAGTCAGGATGGCATTCTCACTGATGACTCTCCTCCGCAGAGGCGTTTTTACGGTTTTTATAACCTAAAAATAAGGCGTTCTCAGTTTTATTCTGGCTTCGACTTGATCCTTCCCGCGCATTCATCAATTAATTACCCGCATGCCTCACGGATATAGATTATAGACATAGTGCTCCACTGCGAGTAAACTGGCGTTGTGGCTGAGCGCTAGCATGTTGTTCTTTCTTGGGCGGAGAATTTGCACGAAGCTATGGTCAGTAGGTTAGCCTATAAAATTTAGAAAAAAGCGCCGATGGTGAATAAAATGGTTGATTTATGGCTAATAAATGAAATAATTGATTGGCAGTTTGCTGCGTAGCCAAGCCTACATTAACACGCCAACTTGCCGAACGTTTTATGCCTGCGGCCTGCATGCCCACCACTAAAATGTTTGATGATAGACATACATGTCACCACAATTAGCGCAAAACTGCGCGCTGGAGCAAGCAACGTGGTTTTTGAATTCAAATACTTTAATTCCAGAACTAAGCCTGCCAATGCGTTAACATTACATTGAAATGATTGAATCAGTTTACCGATATGTGTTCAATTATATTTGCCCATTTTGCCGATACTCATACAATTATATTTGCCGATACAACGTACGTTATACATCGAATGTATGCCTAGGAATCAATCATATTCTCAGGTCTGCATGTTTTGGAACCTTTAGTTAATTTCTGTTGAGATCAACTCCGATCACTCCAGAACTACTCTAGATCAGTGCTCCGGAAGGACATGATGACCGCGCAATGGTAAGAAGTACTAGGGAGAGCATCGGCAACAATAATTTCAAATGTATTTTAGAAAACTTTAACTATAAATATTTTTTAATTTAGTGGAAATTGCAAATGTCTTGGAAAAAGACGAAACATTTTTGTGTTCCAAAGCGGTGAGTGAGGAAAAAAAAGGAAAAGGGTAGCGGGTCCAACTATCTTGACCGGGCTGTCGCACGCCTCCTATTCACAAGTGCTATCCCACTACTGTTTGACGCGGGAACTTTTGTCTGCTATGTTTCCATCCTGGACCGGTACGTTCCTCTTTATTCAACCTGGTGGACGAAGGTTCCCCTCAGTTCACCATATTGACGCCTAACTTAGTGTGGACACCCGATCGACATAGGTCGACGCACGACAGGAGTCCCGACCTCAAGTCATTCGACACTACCTGCTCCGTAGTAGCTCGGTTACAGGCGCACGCCACCACGCCCAGCGAATGTTTTACTAAAATTTATTGTATTTAAATGTAGACTGCAGTTGATTATGCTTGTCCAGTGTTCATCATAAACTGGTCTGAACTCTGAACTACTGGAACTATTAAAACTGGAATTGTAAAACAAGGAATGTTTTCGTGGACTATAATAAAACCATTGACTGAACTAAACTAAACTGGATTTGTAAACAGGCTTGTAATATTTATTGCAAATTATATGGAAAATGCACAAACTGAACAAAATATAAATATAAACTTAAGTAAACTTATGGTATTTTTTCACGAATTGGTTTCTCAAATCGGTTTTCCTTCGGTTGATTTAATATTTACATGTGTTCGTCGCGTTAGAGACTGGGCTCTATTAAACTTAAAGTGGCTCATCAATTCAAACACCATGACTGCTCCAATCTCGTTGCCCGAGCCTGCGATCCTCGGGAAGGAACGCGAGGCTCTGGGATAGTCCGTACGTTTCAGGGAGGAATCTGATTGGCTGTTGAAATGGATGCGTAGTTCAATCTAAATCGTAATTATCGCAAGAATCGCATCGCAAGCGTCGCAACAATTTTAAAAACGCGAAAATTTTAATAAAAACTGCGATTTATTGGAAACTTGAGTCACACTGATAACTAAGTCTCTTACGACAAATTCGCAAAGATAGACTTACTGCGATTTTTGCGATAGCGATGTCTGCGTTCCGCGACTATTGCGACGATTACGATTTAATGGAAACCATGCTTACAACGGATTATCTCAGAGCCTCGCGTTCCGTCCCGAGGATCGCAGGCTCGGGAACGAGATTGCATGATCTCAGTCCCAAAATTAAGGCTATGTCTTAACTGAGTATAATGTCAATAAAAATCAAAGGCGTCGGAGCGGTCCTAAAAGTTGGGGGCCCACTTAGCGCCCGACAAAGGCGGGTGAAAATTTTAAAACTAGCGTCTCTGAAATGCCATTTTCTGCACTTTAGAAGGCGATTTATAGAGTTCTATAGGTAACAAAATGTCACATAAACTATCTCATAAATTGTTTTCTCTACACGCGCAACTGAATCTGAATATCAATTAACGGTTTATTTTTTACCATTGTCAAAACTAGTTTCATATTAATCTGACACTGCAATCGAGCAACGAAAAATTCGTTGGCTCGAGCGGGATTTGAACTCGCATCTTCGGGTATCTAGACCACCGCTCTACCTATTGAGCTATCGAGTCAACAGGGATTGGTAGCGAGTCTTGTCCAATTTAAGTGCACGAAATATTTTCGTGACGACTTAACGCTTGTCTTTGAGGACGCGCAGTGTTTCAATTCTATTTCAGAACCATCCTCAGAGATAGGAAAACTAGTTTCATATTAATCTGACACTGCAATCGAGCAACGATTGCAATTGTCAAAAAGTGTGTGTGTGTGGGGCAAAGACATTTAGCCCCCCCCCCTCCTCAACTAAAAAAGTGGGGTGGCCCGGGTCTCCTCGCTCCCCCCCCCCGTATGTATAAGATTATTCATGGTTTAATTGGCACCTATTGCGCTTACTGAAATATTTTCTAGTGCTTCAGTTGTCAGATCTCATGACTACAATTTACGTAATTCTGACATGAAGCTCAATCTTCCTTTTCCTAAAACGGAATATTTAAAAAAGAGTATAAGTTTCAATGGTGTTAATTTGTGGAACGATTTACCTATTGAAGTTAGAAACGCGGAAAGCCTAGGAATTTTTAACTCGCTTTTATGTGCAACTAGCCTGTCACGATCTACTAGTTTGTAAATATTTAACTTTGTATATACGTGTCTTGTTGTTTATTATGTGTTTTAAATTTTTTCACCACGCCCCCCTTGGAAATCAATTTGTATTGAAGGGGTTAGCGTGTTTAAATAAAGTTTTACCTAC